TCTACTGGTAACTTCCATTGCGCTGTATTAGAAGTAGTATGTGTGCACACAAAATTTATACCTTGAATAAAACTCTGTTGGTCTTAAAGGTGACACTAAACGCAAACTTTGTTCAGAAAATATATAGTTCTATTCTAAGCCTCATGGTTTCCCCCAAAGATTGTCTACATTACAGGTTGAAAACAACCTACTTTTTAAAAAGTTGTATAATTAAATACAGGCACATATTAAACTGGCTGTTGCTAAGAGTTAAAGGACAGAATAAAGACGGTGTTATTTATGAATTACTTCATTTCCCTTTTCTCCTCAATGGTAACCCAGAATAGCTTATAACATTCTCTCCTCTGCCATTATATCCTCACAACAACCCTGTGAAGCAAATTAGACGGACATTGTGTGGCTGGCCCAAGATCACTCAGCAAGCTTCCATAATGGAGACAGGATCCTGGGTTTCTCAGATCCTAGCCTGAAGCTCTAACTCCACAACCATGCTGGCAAACAAAATTCATGCTGGCACCTGCATTTCATTGGTATTATGTCACAAATACCAAAGTTCCTACTATTTTCCCTATGAACACACTGTGGAAATCCACCATGTAGTCTTCATGTATCAATATGACAAAGAGTCCTTTGGCACCTGATGATGCCACAAAACTCATAGTTATTTTGACTACAAAAAATGCTGTTTCCTAATACTATGATCCCCCTCCTCCAATGCAGAATTCCTGTGCCTGGGAAAAAGTCTATACTGGGTTTATATATATGCAAGATAAACTGAAATTTTGCAGTTTTCATAACAGAAGCAAGTTTCTAATCTGAATTATTTATTTAATTCATTTATGCCCTGCCTTTCTCCCCAATTAATCTCCTCTCCTCCATGTTATCCTCCCAACAACCTCTGAGGTAGGTTAGGCTGAGAGACTGTGACTGGCCCTAGGTCACCCAGTAAGCTTCCATGGCACAAGTGGAGATTCAAGCCTGGGTCTTCCAGACACTAATCCAACACTGTTAACCACTACGCCACAATGGCTGTAGAACTAGAATTAGCTAGAACTAAGGTCTGATTAGATCACACACTAGGGTTGCCAGCTCTGAGTTGGAAAATACCTGGAAATTTTGGAGGTAGAGCTTGAGGAGGGTGGGGTTGGAGAGAGGAGGGACTTCAGTGGGGTAATAATGCCATAGAGTCCACCTTTCAAAGCAGCCATTTTCTCCAGGTGAATGATCTCTGTTGCCTGAAGAGCAGCTATAACAGTGGGAGATCTCCAGCCACTACCCTGGAGGTTGGCAACCCTATCACAAAGGTGGCTATTGTACAGGTGTGGTAACTGGGCATCTGTAGATGCTTTGTGTGGGTAACCCCTTTGTGATGGACTACATTTAAAATACTCTTTTTCTAATGCAGCAAAATCAGAGAAGGGAGGTGATTAGTTAACTGCTCTAGAATGTTAAGCTTGAGTGACACAGGCTGCCTCTTTTTTTTGACTGGCCAGCGCCAGCTGAGGGAAGTATAAGATCAGGGGAGAGTGAGTTCAGTGGCAGTTACTGTTCAGTAAAATTCAGCTAAAGAAGTAGATGTCTGAAGAGTCTGACTAAAACTCTGTCAAACAGGTTCACTTTTTGAATGAAGGGTCTTAGCTGTGTTAAATATAACCTGAGAAATAATTCAGTCCAAGAATTCAGAGTCTAGTGTCAGCTAAAGCTGCAGTACACATTCACATGGATGCCAAGAACTGGGGTTTGAGATTCTGGTAAAGAGTGACTGGGTAGCAGGCTAAAGCTCCCAATCAGGCCAAAAGGAATAGGATTATATTTTCAGGGAAGATATACAGGAAATTGGCACTGAGGCAGTCCCTGGTCTGTTATGAAAGGAAATTATGATAGACTACTCAGGGGAAAGAAGAAACATTGTGATTTCAGAAAAGGGGAATAATACACTAAAAGAGTGACTTTTCCAGAAAACCTGAACAGTTAATAGTAAACGGTACAGGTTTCCCTTGCTCCAAAGGTAGTCAAATCCGACTCTAGGGGGCGGTGCTCATTTCCGTTTCCAAGCCGAAGAGCCAACATTGTCCAGACGTTTCTGTGGTCATCTGGCTGGTGTGACTAAACACCGAGATGCACGGAACACTGTTTTCTTCCCACTGAAGCGGTACCTATTTATCTACTTGCAACTTCTTGCTTTTAAACTGCTATAGGTTGGCAGGAGCTGGGGACAAAGGCGGGAGCTCACTCCGTCACGCAGCACTAGGGTCTTGAACTGCTGAACAACAGACCTTCTGGTCTGCAGCTCAGCGTCTTAACCGCTGAGCCACCACTGCCCTGAACAGTTAATAGGAAATTTACTATTTATTGATTTGATTTATATACCACCCTCCCTGGACGGGCTCAGGGCAGTGTACAACAATTAAAATAACACAATTAAAACAGCGTTAAAATAATAATTTGCACAGAATAGTTTCCTAAAATACCATGTAAAAGTGGAGAGCTCAGATGTTAAATCAAATCCAATGTCTAATCAGATCCAGGCCACTGGTAGGCGATTTGCCAGAAGCTGGGGGGAAGAAACATTTTAACTGAAACTGTATTCAGATGATACCACTCTAATGGCAGAAAATGAAAAGGACCTAAAGAGCCACTTGCTAAGGGTGAAAGAGGAGAGCGCAAAAGGTGGCTTGCAACTCAACGTCAAAAAAACTAAGATCATGGCATCTGGCCCCATCACTCCTTGGCAAATAGAAGGGGAAATCATGGAAACAGTGACAGAATTTACATACTTGGGATCCAGGATCACTGTAGACAGTGACTGCAGCCATGAAATTAAGACGCCTGCTCCTTGGGAGGAAAGCAATAGCAAACGTAGATAGCATAATAAAAAGTAGAGACATCACCCTGCCAACAAAAGTTTGTATGGTCAAAGCAATGGTATTCCCAGTAGGGAATGTATGGCTGCAAGAGCTGGACCATAAGGTTGAGCGCTGAAGAATAGATGCTTTTGAATTATGGTGCTGGAGAAGACTCTTGGGGTTCCCTTGGACTGCAAGGAGATCAAATCAGTCAATCCTAAAGTAAATCAACCCTGACAGTTCCCTGGAAGGACAGATGCTGAAGTTGAAGCTCAAATACTTTGGCCATCAAATGAGAAGGGAGCACTCGCTGGAGAAGACCCTGATGCAGGGAAAAATTGAAGGTAAAAGAAGAAGGGGATGACAAAGGATGAGATGGTTAGACAGTGTTATCGATGCAACAAACATGAAGTTGAGCAAAGTCTGTAGGACAGTGGAAGACAGGAGGGCCTGGCGTGATGTGGTCCATGGGGTCACGAAGAGTCGGACTTGACTGTGTGACTGAACAACCACCACCATCTTGTACTAAAAACCAATAATTTCTGAAAATAAGCTGCTACGTCATCTTGTCTGTCACCTGAAAAAATACATTGTTTTACAAACGTTTACCTCAGCCTTTCCAATTCCTGACTAGCCGTACCATCTCTGCCTCTTAAAAAAACCTTTATTATTGTTCACTGTATACAGTCTCCAGTGCTATTTCAAGGGATCTAAAAAGAGGGCTCCTGTTTTCTCCTGACAATTTCCTGGGCTGGGCAAAACCCAAATCAGATTCTGTCACAGGGTGGGGCATTCAGATTTATAAAGCCACAAATATCACACTACTGGGGTCCAGCTCAGTACCTGAGGAGAACTAAGAATTTTGGTGGGAAAAATCTGCCTCAGAGTGGGGACAGTAACAGGGGGTCTGTCATAACCTCAAACTGCAAAACCCATAAGAAAATATTTTGTCCATCAGTGCCATATTTAAATCAGGACTTAGGCCCAGTCTGTATGCAGAAGAGGCAATGAGGTGGCAAAATGGACTGCACCACTTCAGACTGCAGATCAGCAATTACATTCTTTAAAATTCCCTCACATAAAATAATCCTGTTATGTTTAAAAGTAGAACATGTTACAACTAGGCTAAGGCTGTAATACAACATCTGTGTTTTCTGTGTAGGTTGGAATAGATTATTTCTGCCAACTTTAAGACCAACAAAGTTTTATTCAAGGTAGGAGCTTTTGTGTGCAAGGCACACTTCTTCAGATACACTGAAACGGAAGTTACCAGTCCATTCATATAGTTAGAGGATGAGTAGCAAATTAGCATACA